ATGGGGAAATTTCCTTCGGGTTGCGACCAATTCGGGGTGCGACCAGAATCATGGAACGAATTAAGTTCATAAACCAAGGTTCCACTGTATTTCACTAAATGTTTTTCAATTTGCTTAAAGTTTTCTGATTATTTTTAATAGAGGTAAAGGTTACTTGTTGGCTTTATTTTATTCTCACTTTATCCTCACCTCATATTGTTCTCAACTCTAAAATATAACCCAGCTTTCCCCAATTTGGTACCTTCTCCATGTATTGTATTGTATTTTATTTCAATACATAGATTTGTATTGAATTCAATACATTTCAGCATAGCCATGGCTTGGACATAAGGCATCTTTCTTGTCTTAGGCAACTGGATCAATGTTGTGATGCAAATACCTCCTGTGATAGGCACTTTACACATAATGCATCTTTTGAGCTTATATCACATACTTCAGTTACTGACCATGGAGAACAATGATTCACTGCCAGGCCTGTTTTGGTCTCAAAATTCAAGCAATAAATCACAACAGTTAGAAGTGGAAAGGCAATTTAAACATCCTCCAAATATGTAAAATCAATTATTTCTAACCCTATCTTCTTATTTTAAAAGGGCTGGCATAAGTTTGGAGATTTAGGATACATGGTTCAGATGCCAAATTTTGAACCTTAAAGAGAAAGACTGCCATTTTGAGAAGTGATTTAGGTCTTCAAATAGTCAGGAATTGCTCTCTAAAAACAAAACGGAACTCAGAACAAAACACAAGTATTTTGATTTGAAACACTACAACATATGCTTGAAAGTAAATGAGTTCTGTTTAAATAGGGGGCAATCCAAACAATTTATTGCTCTTCGTTGTTGAAGAAGTGTTCCAGCACTTCAGAATATGAAGGTCCTACTCTACCTACACATTAGAAATCACTTGAAGTCAGTTTTGAAAGTGTGCTGAAATGTCCACCAGCTGCAAATGATATACCTTCCCCATAAATGATTATTATAGTCAGCTTCCTTACCAATCTCTAATCTGTTTTAAAAGCAAGGGGGGCTGAAGTCATATCTTCATGACAGGCATAGGCCTGGAATATATGAATGACAAATGAAGTGTCTCTCTGTAGAAAACCAAGTACCATTCTTGAACAGCAACACAGCAAGTGTAAGAATATTCCATTCTTATATTTCTACAGTGGCAGGCTGAAGACAACATCATAAGACACTGTGGCCGCTTGAGCCCTAGCATTTATTTTTTGTTCATCACAATATGTTGTTTGTTCAAAAATTTTACCTGATGTTGTCCGATGGGAACAAATATTGGAAGCAGCACAGCAGCTCTCCGTTCCCATTTTCTCAGTATGGCATGCAGTCCAAATCAGCTGGACAGGTAAGTTTATATATTAATTTTACTAAAGTTATATACTAGTCTAATACCTCAATAAAAATCTTTTTGTTCAAAATGATGATTTTTGTTGGAAACAAACAGAAGAAGCATCAGCAAGGCAAGTCTACAGAGACAATAGAAAATAAGAAATTCTTCTAGACATTCCAATTTGGTGGTGGATTTCTTGGCCCTCTGGGTCTGGAAAATCGGTTTGCAAAGCCTGTGACACAAAATTAAGAAACTGTTATGCACTACTATCGTATTTTATATAAAATGTATATAAGTAATGTATATAAAATTAGCAAATAATGTTCATAGAAAAATAACATGAAACTGATATATACATGCAAAGAAGCCAACTGAGCTAATAAATCTTGAGTGAATCTAAAGCATAAACATACTGGGTATGCATGTTACCCTTACTGTGAGAGTAGCCTTGTGGGAGACAGTGCAACTACTCCAAACAAATAACTTTAAATCTGCAGTAATACATTTATTGTTCATCCTAGTACAATCAAGTATTTTTTTCCAAATCTAACCTGGGAAACAGAGAAAGAAATGAATAACATGTTCCTCTAGTACCCAGATACTAAATAAAATAAATTTAAAATGGTCAAATGTAGCAATAATATTTGCATATGGTAGCATATGTTGGCACTATCCATTTATTAAATTGTTTTATTTATACCAAAATCTATCGATCTATCTATCTATCTATCTATCTATCTATCTATCTATCTATCTATCTATCTATCTATCTTGTGGAAAGTAAAGGCCAAAGTGGTCCCAGTGGTGGTAGGAGCACTCAGGGCTGTGACTCCTAAGCTGGGAAAGTGGCTCCAACAGA